TATTTACACTATGTACTATGACTATAATAACGAGCAAACCTGTCGTAATGAACAACTTTAGGTTTACAGTTCGATGACTTATGGATTCGAACCACAACGTTGTTTAGTCTGTTTAGGACAGATAAGGACTATCCCAAGGCAACTATAGTTTCAGACTGATTCCTTTTTGTCAAATCAGGTTGCACAACCACACCTTGTCTCCTTCATGGAATTGATATTCGGTAGCTCTTGTATCATATCGAGTCTTCATCTTCTCTGTCGGCAAGTTGACACGCTCTCGCGCAAAGTTGTGAATCACTTCAAACCAGGCCTGGAGATCGTGAATGTATTCCTCAGGTGATGAAGGTGCATTCAGAGGGTGACCAAACAGAAGATCACAAGGCAGATGAAGGTCATGACTGAAAAGCATCTGAAATGGAGAATAACCATTAATCTTATTTTTCTCCTCGACCCTAGCATGATTTTGGCAGCTTTCTAAACAGGGTCATTTGGACAAGGAGTCAGCATCAGATGAGGATCCTCTCTGATGATGGATAGTTATGCCCTCTTAATCTGTAAGCAGTCTGTTGTTTTTGAAGTCTAAGCAAAATTGTATTTCCTTAAAAAGTCCAATCCAAGTATGCATTGATCTGTAACATTCGCCACATATGCTGTGTGATGGTAGGTGGCATTTTCAAACGTGATGCTCACGTTTAAATTCCCATCTATGATTTTATCCCCAACACTGTCTGGAGGGCAACACAGGATGACGTCCAAATGAGTTTATCCTTAAATTGTTGAGTTAAATCTTTCCGAAAGATGGTAACATTAGCTCCTGTGTCAATGATCATATTGCAAGGAACTCCATCGATATTCCCATTGATGGGCAGTCTGTTACTGTTGCTCTCACCACAGAAGCAGCAGTAGCACAAAAATGAATTTTCATATTCAAGATACATTTTAATAGCGGGTGGCACTTTCTAATTGTGCAATACAAATATATGCCTTTAATGCAGGGTTAAGTATTTTCATTTGACACTTAGTATTTTGTAACATATATGATGTAATAATTATATTTTTTATGAAATGAAATTATGTATGCCAGTAAACTATATTCTTTTAAAAATAATATGTGGAACTTTTTTTTTTCGCTTATAAATAAACGCAAGCATGTTTTAAATGTCTTTAATATCATAAATGAATATTGTCAAGCAAAGAAGGTGTTATAAAGGGTTCTTCTGTCAAACCATTATGAAAAATAAGATTGTTGATGCAATTTTGAAAATTTATTAAAAATATAAAAATGATATGTGTGCAGTCAAACCTCTCATTAGGGTACACTTATGGGAGTAAGACTTTTGACTGTTATCAGGGAATATCCACCAAATAAAGCACATCGCTGTCCTGCTTCAAAAGTCTGGAGATTCAAAAACTGTCTGAGAAGAGGGAAGTACACATTAATCGAGATTTTTATTGTATTAATTTAAATCTATTTAATAAGAACTCTATTTTTGTGTAAAATTGGGAGGCAAACAAAGTAAAATCCATTTTATGTTCTCATTTCAGATGTAGAATGTAAATTGTAACTATAAAAAATATAAAACCAATATTGTTCAGTAGCTGTTATACTTCTTTCATTGCATTGATATTTACTGCTTTTATTACTACTATACATATATGCAAAACCTACTTAGATTAGGCCTTATTTTTTTCATTCAGAATTGTTAATAAGTATTTAAATTTTTATGTGGTAAATGAAATGAAGTATCAATTAAAACACTGAAATAATAAACATTTTTACATATAATTTGATATGATTTCATGATGGTTGAACTAGAAGTGTGAGATAATTTGTCCTTGACTTATAAAAGTTAAAATTAGACATTTGAAAGGCGAAGAGATATTTGGGAGATTGAGAAGATGCATATGGAATTTTAATAGAAAAGTTTAAATCAAAAGTTTTTTAACATTATTTTAATTTAATGTCTGGCTTAACTGTACGTATGTTACTAGATCTCAGACTTTGTCAGTTGTATGAAGGAAGGTGTATTTATTTTATCTAATTTCTTGTAAAATAAATTAATTATTTGAAAGTTAAAAGAGAAAATTATGTTGTTTTTAAATTAATTAAGAGCATTTAAAGAAGCAGAAATTAGCTTATAAAGTCAAAGTAAGTTTAAATCATTGTTGTTTTGTATGTCCAGTTAAAAAATTATGAATGAATATTTGTTAATTCTTAAATTTGTAATCAGTTAGTAAGTAATCAATGTGGTTAGTAAGTAATCAGTTAGTAAGTCTTAAAAATATATCTGTAAACATTTGAATTTCATTTTGATGTAAAGTACTGCATAATTTAAATAAAGTTTAATATGTCATGTCATATACTGTCTTTGAGCTGTATGGTTAATAGATTTCCATGCTGCTCCATTAGACTTTGTAATATAAAGGTATTTTCTCCCAGTGTGTATGAAATTTTCATTTTAGTTTTTTTACTTATTTTGAAGTAATGCAACTAATAAAAATTATTTTATTTGCTATTTCTAATTACAGGAAATCTCACTTTACTTGATTAATCTCCCAATACAATACTTTAAATGAAATTGTGCTAAAGGAATACTATAAATAATAGTAATAATTATAATCAATCTATCAATTAGCATAAATTTAAAGAAAAAAAATATAAATTTATTAGAAGATAAAATCACAGAAGTTTACAAAAATCAATTTCTTAGATTTTTATTTAATGTGTACTTGAGCTGCATTTTTATTTTTAAAAAAAAGTTAAATGAAGATTGTACTTTATCATTCAGTAGATGGTGATGTTTTATCAAGATTAACAGCACAGCTCAAAACTTCTTATTAGGAATAGCATCAAATAAACTTTCTTTAGTATGTTCAGTCAAATTATGAAAACAAGTTCAAATTCTTTTGCTAACAGTTTCTTATCCTGTGGGTCACATTGATTTTTAAGTGTAGAATCTAAATAAATTTTTTTTTCTAACAAAAAATTTGTTTCATAATGTGTTGGATTTATTTTGATCCGAAATTGTATTACAGAAAAGAAATATTACAATTTAATAAAATGTTAAAACATTTATTGTGGTGATAACAAACCTTGCTAATAAATTATATTAATTTCTAAAACTAAACCATCATTCAAAATTAACAATATTTTAGCATTTTATTGAGTAATCCCAATTATACGAGGCGTATTCTGAAACTAAGTACCGTTTTGAAAAAAAAATAGTAAAACAATTTTTTCGAATCCAATTTTATTTTTACATGAAAATACATGTCTTAAACTATTTTTCAACATAGTTTTCGCCAATGATCAAACACTTGTCATAGCGGGTGACCAGTTTTTGTATACCATCGTCAAAGAAACTTCCCGCCAGTTTCGATAACCACGACTCCACAGCATTTTTCGTGTCATCGTCAGGTCCAAAGCGCTTGCCACCAAGCTCGCGCTTCATGTGCAGGAACAAGTGATAGTCAGACGGCGCCAAGTCCGGCTGTACAATGGTTGATCAAACTGTTTCCAATGAAACTGTCGAATTAACGATTGAGTGACACCAGCAGTATGGGACCGAGCATTGTCATGAAGGAACACAATTCCTTTACTGAGCATTCCTCTTCGTTTGTTTTCAATGGCACACCTTAGTTTTGTTAAAGTCTCAAAATATCGTGCCGCATTAATGATTTCACCTCTGGGAAGAAATTCAGTAAGCAAAACGCCTTTCCTATCTCAGAAGACAGTGCACATGATTTTTTGTGATGACATTGTCACTTTGAACTTTTGTTTTTTCGGAGAATGAGTGTGTCTCCGCTCCATCGATTGTTGTTTCGATTCTGGTGTGAAATGACACACCCAAGTTTCATCACCTGTCACAATTTGGTTTAAAAAGTTTTCTCCCTCATCACTGTACCGCGTGAGAAATGTCAGGGCACTACCAAGTCGCTTTGTTTTGTGAACATCAGTGAGCATTTTTGGAATCCACCGGAAACACAGTTTGCGATAATTCAAGCGGTCAAACACAATTTAAAACAAAACAGTATGTGAAATTTGTGGAAATGCCTCTGAAAGAGTTGTCATTGTGAAGCGTCTGTTCTCATGAATTGCTTCATCAACTTTCCTTACCAAATCATTGGTGACAACAGAAGGCTGACCACTCCGAGCCTCGGCGTGGACATTTGTTCGACCTGCATTAAACATTTTTACCCACTTTCTCACAATTCTATCACTTATCGCATATTCACCTTAAACTTCTGTCACTTGACGATAAATTTCGGCCGGTTTAACATTCCTTGCGTTCAAAAATTTAATCACGGCACGAATCTCACAGTCAGCGGGTGAACTAATTTCTTAAACATTTTGTATGTGCACAGCAAACTGAAAACACAACATAGAGCAACCAAAATGGCGACAATTGAAAGTCAGTGAACAAGAAAGACTAGTGCGCATGCGCGGGACGCCTACCACAGCGCTGCAACGGCGCTAGAATGATTTCCGAATACGCTACGTATCATGAATGTTTATTATTCCAGACCTTTCTAATCTTTTTTTTTTTTTTTTTTAAATACGTTTTAGTAGTACTTGAAAAATTATTGCTGCAGATTGGTCATAAAAAAATCATGCAGTGTAAAAGAAATTCACATTTACTGGGTACTCACTTGTATAGAGTTGGAAATAGAATCATTTCACTTATCCAGGTTAATTGATTATCATACATTAAATTCATATTAAATGAAATTTTAATTTGCAACATAAGGTTTACATATCAGAAACAAATTATATTCCTGAGCTGCATATGCTGTTATTTAGCAGTAATTTGTTTAGGATGAAAGGTTGAAATATAAAAATAAATGTTTCTGAATTAAACAGTAGTCTAAATTTTGGATACCTATTAGTGTACTTTTGAGTGAGATTATCCAAGAGATAAATTTTTATTATTTAATAATTTTTCTGTTTGTATTTGTTAGTTTTTACACTGACGCATTAACACTTTGATAAATTTTCTTAGGTGTGTGGGAAAATGTTGCATCTAAAACAAAGATTTATTCTTGTTCCCTTTGCTCCTTTTCTTCTCCGGCTCTGTGGCGTTTGAACAGACATAAAAGAGTTCATAGTGGTGAGCGTCCTTATGGTTGCACTGTTTGCAACAAGCGTTTCAGTGAAAAAGGAAATATGAAAAAGCATTTAATGACTCATAGAAGATTTCGGCATATAATTTTGAATATGTAATAATAATCTAATTAAGTGGATGTAAAAAGTTTTAAAATAATTATAGTAGTGTTCCTAATTGATATTACTGTATATTTAATACAATTTGTTACAATCATTCAATTGTTATATTCCACTGAAGATTCACTGTTGTTCTCAAATAATAAATTGGTTAAAGTATTTTTATCTAAATCTTATTTGTTATTTATTATTTTCCCAGTGAGTGTTTTCTATTTTTTCTCTTATAATTGTTTATACTCATTTTAAATAAAAAAACGTTACATTTGCTATGCTGTAATACTGTTATACATATAAATGCAGCATTTTGTAGAATATTCATTATTTTGTACTGTGTGATTTATTTTGTTTATCTTTTTCCAAATCTTAAGAAAAATTAATGTTGTCCTGATCTGAAAAGAATGCTATGAGTATGCTATTCATGGTGTATCGTTCTATTTCTGTTACTGAAGAAATGCCCTCTCATTTTTTATATTCTGAGTACTAAACCTTCCACTAAATAGTTATTTATAATTAATGTAGGATAAAGTCTTCAAATTAATGGACGATAGAGACATCAGTATGAATTAGACGGAAGTGTATAGAATGGCCCCTACCCCTGTAGATATAAATTGGTGCAACATTGCAGCACTAATGTGTCAAGCATATTCAGAGAGAGGGAGGAAATTAAAACGAAATAAACATACATAAATATACTGCACAAAATTTGTTCTTCCTTATCTCTAATTTGGGGGGAGGGGGCTAATTATATTATTATATTATTATAAACAAAATTTTAATTTAACAAATTAAAATTTGTTTATAATAATTAATTTATTTTAATTAACAAACAAATTAAAAATTTTTAGAAAAAGAATATAAGTTCTTAAGTCCTTATATATATAATGTTTTATATCACATTTGTGCTACTGGTGAAATTGTATAATGTACATACCTATTTTAAAATAAATAGATTTTTTTAAAAATCTAATTTTATATTTGCATGTTACTCTTCTGCTTGATAGTTTAAGGCTGTCTGCCTAAGAGAATGGATGCTTTCATGGAGGATCTTCTAAATGCAACTGTCTCTACACGTAGAGGGTTATGGCCAAAAACAACGCAAGGTTAAAACGTGGTGCTACAAAACATCATGGGTGAAAACATCGTCGTCGAAAATAAAACGGTTTAAAATCTTCGCAGTTTAAAAACATTGTCGTCAAAAATATCGTGGTAAAAAATAAAGTATCTACAAATAATCACATGACGATAACATCACAGACATGCTTTTCATAACTGTAAATGGATATTTCCATAATGATTTGTGACCGCAAGATGGAAAGAAGGATAATTTTTACTTTTATATTTTTTATTAACTAATAAATTTTTGCTGAGAAAATTAGAAGGAAACTTAAGCATAGAAAATTAATGCAACTTATAGCACTTAATAGAATTTTAAACTGACATAGTTAACTAACAAAGGCCATTAATAAATAATTTTTTATAAAGTTTTTACTGGTAATTTTTCATGAAAAGTATAATGTATAAGTTACATTTAATTTTCTATGCTTAAGTTTCCTTCTTACTTATTTCAGCAAAAAATTTATTAGTTAATAAAAAAATGTGAAAGTAAAAATTATCCTTCTTTACATCTTGTGCTCACAAATCATTATGGGAATATCCATTTAGAATTATTAAAACCTGAAAAAAAGCATGTCTGCGATGTTATCGTCATGCGATGATTTGTAGATACTTTATTTTTTACCACGATATTTTCGACAACGATGTTTTTAAACTGCGAAGTTTTTTAACTGCTTTATTTTTGACGACGATGTTTTGTAGCACGATGGTTTCGCCTTGCGTTGTTTTCTCTGCGACATTTTCGTTCGCGATGTTTTTGCCGCATTGTTATCGGCAGACAACACGTAGAGCAAACCATGATAAAGTCCATGCAGCCAGCCCACTCATCAGGGTTTGAACCCCATTTGAACTGCTAGTGGTTATCAGTATTATCCCCACAGCCATTTGTGGGCATTTATGTATATTTATAGTATGGTGGGCATTTATAGTGATATACACATATAAAAGTGATTAAATGAAAGATAATCAGTTATTAAAAAAACTGACCTACCAAATATTTTACATTTTATAAAGAAATGTAATACATATTTTTTACTATATATATTTCTTGTTTTATATTCCATATTAGCTATAAAAATGCTAAACTGCAACTCAAAAACAATTTTGAAAAAAATCTGAAAGTGTTCAAATTTTAACAATTGCTCAAAAAAGCTTTTATAAAGCTTAATATAGTTTTAATTTTATCAGTAGAGATTATCAATAGCGATGGCAAAGTAGAATAGCAAGACATGTTTTGGGATATTAGTTGAATATGCAGTATCAGACATGAGAATGTTGTGTATCTTCTGTGTAGTTAAAAAGTGAAAAAAAAAAATGTAATTCCGCAAAAATATTCAAACATTTTTAATTGGATATATCATGAATTAAATGCATTTTTATTTAAATTAATCTGATTAAAAAGTATAAAACAGTATTCTTAAGAACTGCATCTATTGCTTTTAAATAATTTAGTGGTACTTTTCGTTTTGCTGGCACAGACGATAAAGTCGCCAGTATTGGTACAACTAATGCCAAATGGAATATCTTCACTGGTAACCTTTTACGCTTCATTTTCAAAACAAGTCGTAGCCATTTCTTATCAGATTAATTGTTTCTTTTCAATACTGGCATACAATTACATAGAATTTTTACAAGATAGTTAAATTTTATGCCCTAAGGCCTTTCACGATAATTAAGTCAATTAGGATACCGGAAGGCGAAAATATAAAAAGGCAAAATCAAGGGTTAAATTCATCAATTCTAATGAGAAATGCACTAGCGAAGTAAAGCACTGCGGTTTTACATAATTTTTTAGTAAGCTATTCGTATGAATTGAAATAATTCTTGCATTTAAACTATTATTCCAAATTAAGATTTAACTTGAAATTAATGTAGATAATTACTGAGAGAATTAGATTTTTGTAGCAGAGTTTACGCGAGATGAGATCACTTTGAGTCACATGATAAGAACCGGTGAATCAGGATGTTGAACCATGAAAGTATAGTAAATTCTTAAATCAATGTCTTTTTAGAAATTTATTGTCTTTATTTATTGGCTTTTTACAAAATTTTAAATCATATTAAAATCAAACCATATCAAAATAAAAAAATTCTTAGAACTAACATTTTTTATTTTTTATGTCTATACTGTATGCTTTCGCCAACAAAGTCTGCTTGGCAAGATTTGGGCCGCCGAAATGGAAAAGTACCAATTTAGTTTGTTAATTATTAGCTGTTAGATTAAATATGAAAGAATAATTTTTGGAATGGCTTTAGACTCAAATGAAAAGTGAAATGTGAAATTTTCTTTCAGGCATATAGCAATTTAGGGCTAATAAACATAATTAAGAATAGTAATGTCTATTGCATGTTTTTCAGTGTCAGACTTAATCAAGTAAAAAATTAGTTTTACAGTAAATGAGTGAATTTATGCATTTAAATGAAGCTTTTCAATGGCCACTTAGATAATTCTGAAGCATATGCTGGTTCACAGTGGTGAAAAACCATGTCTGTACAGTGTGTAACAAAAGTTTTAGTCAAGATGAAAATCTGAAGCAACATTTTAGGATTTATATGGATTATCAATCATTTTGGTGCAAAGTATGTGGGATGCGATTTAATGAAAAGTATCCTCTGAAATTGCGCTCTGCTACTCACACAATTCATTTGCATGCCACAGAATGAATTCATATCATTGTAAATATCTGTGTAAGTTTTTAGCTTTGTTATTCTAGTTTACTAGTAATTAAAATATCCTGTACCTTTTTTTTGGGGGGGGGGTAAAAATGTTTGTTTTTTAGTATTATTTAGTTTTAAAATAATTATTTGTAAACGGAGAATGTAAAGAGTCTTAATTTATTGAGTTTTTGTATATTTTAAAATCAGCAGATTTTTTGTTATGTTTAGAAGGTTCACATTATGTAAAAGTTTAAACTGCTGTTCTCTGTTCTTTGATTAACCTTAATTGGATTGATCAGTGGATAAAGTTAATTCCTAAATAACTACATAGAGTATAGAAAATAAAAGTGAGTATATAAAGAATGTAGAATATTCATAATAGAGCAATTTTTTTATTATGCTTATATAAATATTCATTATGTTTAACTTTCTTTGAACATTATCAGTCGTACTTTTAGTTATTTTAAATCAAAGAGTGGAAAATTTATTGTTATCCCTTCATAAATACTTGGAGTGGGTATTATGTAATTATGGCAACATTCAATTATGCAGATTGCCTATGAGGAAAGAAACCTACATCAAGGATCTTGTTCTGTATTTACATTAAATATGAGGAAAATCAAAATTTGTGCAGCAAATCCATTCAACTATTCGAAAGAAATACAGGAAGGACTATTAATATTTATTCATTTTTTTTAAATCTTTCTTCATACCCTTCTGAGTATTCTGTATGTATGCTATTTTTATAGTGTATGTTGGTGTTAAATCTTTATTTAGATTCTATTATATATGTGTCCTCTTATTATGATTAGCTTTCCAAAATTCCGAAATGTTTTGTAGCTGCAGTTGGTTTCTTAAGCTCTCGTATTACACTTTCTTAAATGTATTAAGTTTATTTATCATCCAAGAAGAGAAGAATTAGCATTGAAAAGAATTTTATTATCTTTTGAAAATTGAAAATTAAAGTTCCTGTACCATTCACCATGAAAATATTTAAAATAATTTATTTGTGCTTCCAAGAAATATGCATTAAGTTCTTAATAAGCAAATATTTATGAATATTAATCTTTGGAACTATTTATTGTAGACTTTCTCCTGAAATGAAAAACTTCTTTTCTAATGTTATTGTTTACACAGTATTCCAGTCAAATGTCCAATTATCTACAATGCAAGTGGAGTCTGAAATCCAGAATTATTGGCAGCTCAGTGATTTCAGATTAAAAAATTTCTGGATTTTAGATCATTAATTGAAGTCTAATAAAATAACTGTAGAAAATATAAAATAAAAAATATAAAATAGTTGTTTTTCTTTTGTTACCTTATTTTGATTTATTAAACCATTCTGGCAATATAAGTTATTTAAAAATTTTATTTTTATCATTAAGACCTTTCTGTAAAATTTTATATAAAGATATAATATTTTGTTAAGTTACAAAGTTCCATTGCTGATATCCTGTATTTGCCATGTTGAGAATTCCCATTAAATAATCAGTTAAAATCGTATCATTTTCAATAATTGCTTTATAAGTTTCTTCATTATTGATGACAATTTTTTTGGATTTTACAGATTTTCCCATTGGTTAAGTGATTGATGTTTAGGGCATTGTCTTCGCAATGAAGACTTCAGTTATATCATCTTCATTTAGCATTTACATATATTCCATCAATTGGAAAATTTGTCTTACCCTCCCTCCAGTGTGTGCATGTTTTTCTTGGCATTATGCATCACCAGTTTCATTTTGCTTCTTTCCTGATGCAACCCCATTTTTCATCTAATCAGAGTGCTCCCTTCCCATGAAAATGTATTTTTTATGATTTGAGGTTTGCAAAGAAATGAATAACTAGTTATCATTTTTCTTAAAGGAAGAAGTATTTTGCACATAAAAAGGACTGTATTTTAATTATCATCTCATGAAATCAAAATGTAACTTTAAGCTGAAGTGACCCCCCCAATTTAGACTCACTATAGATTTTGCTGATTTTGGGATGATTTAAAGAGTAGCTGATTAATGATTGGAGCATCATTGCAGTGGCAGACTTAATTTGAAACATATTCATTACTCCATCTATTCTGAAAATTTTGCTTTTTACTTGTATTGTTATCCAAAAATGAGAGTTAGTTTTAAAAATATATGCAAATATGTCCTGTCGTGGCCTTGCAATGTTCCACATTGTAGATTTTATATTAAAATATTTTAAGAATTCTTGGATGGACTTACTGCTGCATTGATTTAAAAAAGGCTACTTATTATACATGGATTTCAAGATAGAGAAATTATGATACCTATTGCCTTATTCATAAATGTACATTTTCAAGGAAGTCGAAAAGTAATCTTTTGCTACAACTTTAATTTTTAATAAGATGGGAGGGATAATAGACTGAACAAAATACCAAATCAAGTACTGCTGAACTTAATCGCAGTTTTATTCCTTTTTTTTTCTTTTCTGCAAAAGAAAACCAATATGTTCATTCCAAACATTGGTCTTCAAGCTTCACTTATTGCATACAGGGCTAGATAAGACAGAAAGGTGCTGCTTCTTCCACACCCCGGGCCTTCCGTTCAAGCATAAAAAATTTAAATGTGGTTTGCCGGAAAGCAGGTTGTTTAAAAATGAAACTATTCAAGATGGTTCAAAACTAAAGTGGGCAATGGTCTTTTGCAGCTAACAGTAACAAAAATCTATTTACAGCACACTTTTTTTTTCTAGTATCATTATCCATACCTGCCTTTTGCTAAAAAAGTATTTTGGGAAGTTTTTATGGGATGCCTGGATTATAAATCATTCTGGTTATTAGACATCTCAATTTTGGTTTTTGTGTTGTATTTCAGTTCAAGTAGATAAGTTAATTAATGATGATAGTCTCCTAAATTAAATGTTTATCAATGATGATAGTTTGCTGAGTTTAATCAATAATGTTATTATCTTGAATTAAATGTTCATTGTAGAGAAGTGTTCTTAATGTAATACGTGCAATTCCATAAAATTTTATAGTTCCATGCTTTAGGTATATTTTCGAGTATTATAAGCAGCAATAGCTAACCCATGCTTATTTGAGTACACATGGATTTACACACTTTATAGTTAATAATCATTGTGCTGAATAGTATCTGCCACTGTGAAGATAAGTGTATCAGCTATATAGATTTTTCGTAGAAAATTTCTTGTTTCTTATAAAATGCTTCCTTTTATTATTATTTATGAGGAGAACAGTATTTATGAGCCAAACAAATGTTTTTTGACTGTTCACTAAGTTACATGGGAAATGCATATAATTTAAAAGTACCCAGATACTTATATCTGTTATAGATTTAAAATAACAATCATTGTTTCTGTAGTATTTGGTATGTCATATAACCGTTTTGTTAAAGTGTTTCCTCCCCCCCCCCAATGGCAGGCCCTCAGCCGACTTCGCCATGGCCACTACTAAGGCCAGAAGTGGTGGTCACTTTATTATGGAGGCACCTAATAGGTGGGCCACCTTTACCTCCTATGAAAGGACAGACAGTTACAGCCATGCCTTCTCCAGGATTTGAACCCGGGCCTTTTGGTATCATAATTAGGTCCTCTAATCACCATACCACCTGGGCGGTGCTTTTTGCTAAAGTAAAAATTGTGATTCCAATTAATAAATCTAGAATTAAATTCAGACTTAACTATGTTTTTTAATAACTCAGAAGAGTTGATTATAAGTTTTTTAACTCAAGATTTCTTAACTGCCTAGTGGAAGCATTATTCATAATACAGTTTTCGTTTTTCTGAGCACTCTTTTTCTTGTATGTGTAAACAGTGGCAGTGTCATATGTGCACTCAAAAAATTCTCTAATCAGTAATTTTTAATTTTCTAAATTAAAAATTAGTTTTTTATAACAGCAAATATGCAGATCTTTATAGTGAAGAGTATCAAGTATTTTTATTATTATTATATAATAAGGATTGAGTTCTTTAACTTTTCTATTGCTTGTCACTGCATAAATAGCTTGAAATGTGAAAACTATCAATAGTTTTATGTTGGCTGATCTGATAATTGGAAATCTGTTGTGTAGTAGAATTTTGATTACTTGAGTTTCAATGATATGAAATTTTTGATATATCAAATTACATACTGATATGTCAAATCTTACCCTTCCCCAATGAAATGTATCGATGATAATTTTTCTTGATAAATCAAATCTCTTTAACTTTCTTAGTTGAAATATTTTACATGTTAAGCACTTCTTTTGAAGAGAACAGTAATTATTTTCTTCGCATTTCTGAGTGAAAATTCTGTTTTCTTAATTTTGGTTTTTAAGCTTTTTATTTTATGATTCAAAATTTTTATTGCAATTAATGTATATAATAATTTACATCTTTTATTGTTAAATCTATTTATATTCATTGGAATCATAAATATTTTCAAGCTTAGTTTCTTAAAAGTCTAATTAACTCTCATTTTTGAATATTTAGTTTTTTCCCGTGCTATCTAATGTTTATCAAGTTTTGTCTACATCATGTTTTAGTTTCATTCCTTCTTGTAAACATATTCTAGTGAAACCTCCTTAAGAAAATGACTTACAGTTCTAGATCAGGGGTCTCCAAACTACAGCCTGAGGCCAGAACCTGGCCCAAAAGCAATCCTGCCCTCCAGGAGTTTCTTTATAATAATATTATAAAATTTAAAGTAACAACGCATTAACTATTTAACTATTTTATGTAACAGCCAATCTAGAAATGTGTTTCCTGTCATGCACGTTTTTTATAAAACATATTATAAACATGATACAACCGTTTCTAAATTTGCAATGAATGAACACTCTATATAACAAATCTTATATAAACACACATGACTTCCTCATACGTTCTATTAAATTACATACATTTTTTGCCACACTTCAGGTAAACCTATTTCTTCCAGTTTCATTAGAGATATATTTCTCATTCAATCTGTTAAGTTCTTACTTCACGGCAAGACATAAAAACTCAAAACATTTTCAAACAAAACAAGAATTTAAAACGTTTAAAGAATTTAAAAGAATTTAAACTTTGTTTGGCCTAGTAATACTGAAACAACTTTTAAATTGTTGATAATTCTACAACTATTGCTTGTGTATTAAAGTCATAGAAACATTAACCAGAACATAAGAACAACATAATTCAATTATTTCTAAAGCAAAAAATGCTCAATTCACCAAAATATAAGAATAGTTATATATATATATGTAAGATAAAAAAATATGTAAATCAAAATTATAATTTAAACTAACCCGTAATTCCCTTTAATTCTCCCTCTCTGTTCTAAAACTCATAATAACTTTTCTGGATTGCATCATTTCTGGATAATTCCATTTTGCATAGCCTGTGCAGCGCTGCTGACATAATAATTGGGAACTGAAATTTTTAACTCAGATCGAAACCTTTCTCTTTGTTTGCTTCTGTATTGGATAACTATGCATTTTAGCTTCTGTCTGGGCAGTGGTTGTAGGCAATTTCACAGGGTGGGTTTATAGCACAATAATATCAAAAATGTAAGTGTTCTTGAATAGGCACAACTAGAAAGCCAAGCAAACTGTGGCTACAAATGTCAGTTGCAAATAAAAATGGAATTAAAACTGCCTCAATTGCCAAGTTTCTCAGATATTTCAAAGTCAACATATTAACATACTGTGCAGTCAGATTTCTTCTTCTTCAATATGGATCTACAATCTATACTATATAACTATTATACATCAGCACTGCTCCATCTTTTCCTTGTTATTACTTTTTTTTTTAATGCAATGAAAACAAGAAACAAAAGCAGCATCGATGTGTAATACCTAGATATTATACAACGTAGATCCATATTGAAGAGGAAGAAATCTGATTGTGCAGTATGTTAATATGTTGACTTTGTAATATCTGAGAAACTTGGCAATTGAGGCAGTTTTAATTCCATTTTTATTTGCAACTGACATTTGTAGCCACAGTTTGCTTGGCTTTCTAGTCGTGCCTATTCAAGAACACTTACATTTTTGATTTTATTGCGATAAGAAGCAAGCCCAGCGAAATTGCCTACAAGCACCGCATAGACAGAAGCTAAAGTGTATAGTTATCCAATATAAAAGCACACGAAAAGAAAGGTTTTGTTTTGAATTTAAAGTTTCAGTTCCCAATTATTACGTCATCAGCGCTGCGCAGGCCATGCAAAATGAAATGATCTAGAAATTACACAATCCAGAGAAGTTATTACGATTTTTAGAACAGAGAGGGAGAATTAAAAAGAATTAAAGGTTAGTTTAAATTATAATTTTGATATACATATTTTTTATCTTACACACACACACACATATACTAAGAAAAAGGGATATAGTGAAAGTTCAATTTACACAGATATAAAAGAACTAACAAGTTCAAAATTAGCTCCCAGTGCTTCTTAATTTTTAAATGAATGTAAAAGTCGAGATCAATAACCTAACGTAGCTGTAAGAATATTTGAACTCTACCTACTAGAGTCCAAATATTCTTACAGCTATTAGGTTATTGATCTCAACTTTTATGAACATATATATATATGTATATACTTTTGATACAGCCGATTGCAGCAAAAAGAGGGTGCACAACTACATGTTATAGCAGTCCCACATTCAAAATTTCAACATTTTGAGACTACTCATTTTTGAGTTACACCAGATACATATATAAGTACAGACATTACGAAAAATTCTCTCTTAAATCCACTTTACAAGCCATTTTGGATAAAAGAGTCCTTTATTCCATCTGTATGTACAGATGTGAAAAAATATTTTAGTTGAAATATGGATTTCCAACATTTTTCGTGATTACTTCCTTTACTTTGTACAAGAAATTAAAAAATTCTCATCGTACTTTTACCAAGAATAAAGGTTTTTTGTGTTATCTTACCTACATTTATAGTAGTATTCTAGGTTGGTTCATAGAAATTTTCAGTAGGGATTTTATTTAAAACCTTAATTTTTGCCTGTATATGTTGTAATATATTTTAATTTTGAAGATTTTTCTTTCCATGCAAAACTTGCACAAAGTATGAAATACTTATGAGTGAAAGTTTGCATCTGATCAAAATGTAAAAATTGCACTGATAAATTCTGACAACAGGGAAATCCATTGAAAAGTAAAGTACATACTAAACCGAAGAAAATCTCTAATATTCTGGGACAAAAATATGTTTAAAAATAGCTTTTAAGAAATTTATGGTAAGTGAAACTGCATGGAAGTCTAAAAAGCAAGGCTTTTCGTAAGATCATAGCATATGGATCCAATTACAAAATTCTCACTGCCACATTTAAAAATGTTCATGCTATTTATTATAATTGCATCGCTGTGATATGATGAATTAATTGGATCTTGGCTCTCGAAGCTTTGTGAAAGAGCCAATGTGGCCTTCTGGCTAAAATGTTTCATGTTCCAGATGATTTTGACCATGTGTGGCAGTGAATACCTTAGAAAATATAACTGTTAGTGATATTCAGTATAGTTATTTAATTATGTTTACAGCAGTACTGATTACTCAGATGTGGTTACTGTGAGAGATTTTATCGTACATTTGTTTTTTGATAAATGTGAGCACATAGGTGTTCAGAAAATTTTTGTTAAATTTTCATAAAATTGCTTTTTTTGTCATTTCTTAGATGCATTTACATCTTTTGTATATTGGGCATGATTTAATGAAAAGTCATTTTGATTAAATGATATTATATGTATTTAATGTATTTTTAGAATTGTAATACTGTGTGTTTAATTTATGTTTAATATTTCATGAAATAAATAAAAGGTGCAGACACATAATTATTCTCAATTTAATTTGTAAATGTCTTTGAATTAAAGAAAAGGTCAAAAAGCTGCTTTTTAAATTTGAAAGCTTTTTTTAACTGTAGTCAGTGATAAACATTTTATTAAATTTTCCTTGAAAAAAATGTTATTACATAAACGCTGAATTTGGAAATTATTTAAAGGAAGATAATTTATTAAATGTCGTGTATTTTAAAACAAAGTACAGAAAAAAAAAAAGCATGAAGAACTGAATTCAGTTGATGTATATATTTATTAGATTAAAAAAAAAATACTCATAAACTATATAATAAACTGCTTTGAGTTTTTTTTTTTTTTTTTTTTTTTTAATGTTGATTTCTATAAAAAGCTGAGACTGAATATATTTCAGTGACCAATGAGTTCCTGTGTACCATTCTGTTGAAATAATGGTACTTCCTGATTATCGGCATCCCCACTGAAAAGTTGTGAAACCGTTACCAACTTTGGAGAGCATTCATGAACTCGGTGGCAAAAACTTTAAGTATCTTTATTGTCTATTTCAACAATACATCCAGTGTTCCTTTTTCTTGTTTTTTACATTCTTTTCCATATAGAATGCATACTTCTTGATTTTTTGTCCTGTTATTCTCCCCATGTACACAACGATCTGTTTTTGCTAAAAAAAAAAAAAAAAAAAAAAAAAAAATAGGAAACTTCAAAAATATAGCACCATGCACAATCTTGGTATCAAAATTGTAAAATGAGATGGAAAAAATGTGGATGATGTGTTTAAGCAAGAAAAATTATATTATATGCATGCAGAAAGCAAAGTCCAAGATTTCACAACGATGATGGTAACTGCAGTATGCAAAAATGCTGAAATTCCTGTAGGAGAGATCATAATTTGGAATCAGACTAATGAAATTATCTGGAGAAGGGAAAAGCCATCTAAGAGGATGCTGCATGCAATACCTGGCTTCCCACATAAATACTTTGATGTGGAGCATAGTCTCATTATTATTTAATGCTCCTTTTTGATGAGGATGTGGGAAACTGGAAAGTATCAAAATAATTTCAGAGAGTATGTGCATATATGATCTTTCAATTCTGTTTGTATTTTCACTTATGCATTTTGGTATAAAGTTGTTTGCATGAAAATTTTTCTGTATTTTGAAGTTATATAATAAAAATAATTTGGACTCGGAAAATCATTATTGTGATTTTTATCTTTTTAATTGATTGGGAATAATATAAAAATATAATCTCAGCTTTTTGTTTTTATTTGGATTATTATTTTATTATATGCAGTACAAAGTCCGTAATTTGAATGTCCATTATCCGGAATGATCTATAATCCGGACCTCAAAGCCGCAAACTTTACGCATGCACGTAGAGATGGCGCATACATTACGCGCATATGATTTACATGTGCGCGCATTGAAAGAAATGTTTGATGAAGTAAACAAATAAATATTAAGCTTTTTTTTGTAAATTTGATACCCTTTAGATCATAGTTGCTTTTTATTTCATAAATTACGGTTTCATATTTTTAATAGTATAATTTCCGCATGCCAACTTACCAGATTTAAATTGATGATCTATAATCCAGAATCGCCGAAGTCCCGATGAGTTCGGATTACAGATTTTGTACTGTATATAATTTTTTTATGTATAACTTTGTACTTGTGCCCTTTTTATTTCCTTGTACGAAGTAAAAAGGAAGTATTTTATAAGTTGTAAAATTTAAAACTTTATATATTTTTATCAAATTAAATTATCACATATTATTTTTTCTAGAAGTTTTGATAAAGGACATGAAGGAATTTGGAATGACGTATACATGTGCAAGTGGTTCAGGTGATTCTACTCATCTTTCACAGTCACAAAAATATGCTTCTAGTTCTCCATATATTTGTGAAGTATGTAATAAACCGTTCACACAAAAAGGAAATTTGAATAGGCATTTGAAATTTCATACTGGAGCACGTCCGTTTGTGTGCCGTGTATGCAACAGAGGATTTACATTAAAGCAAAATCTTGAAAGACATTTCAGAGTGCACACTGGACACCGTCCATATGAATGCAAATATTGTGGCAAAAGATTTAAACAAGATACAACACTCCGGTCTCACTATATCACTCATATGAAATCATTTTGATTTCGAAATTGTGTGTGTGTGTTTTTGAAAGTAGAGCTGTATTCTAAAGATCAGCAAGAAAAGATGGTACTTACATATTTTTCTGTCAATTATTTTGTCAAAAAATGGTCACTAAACAGTGTAATTTAGTACCAGTAATTGATAAGAGTGACATCACAACACACTTATAAGATCCTTGTTTTGGTTTTATTAATTGTGGTTAATTCTCAATAAACCAGTTTGTGTGTATGTATGTGTGTGTGTGTGTTAATGATGACTAAATTAACTGCTGGTTCTCAGCTTTTCTCTTGCATTCTAAGAAAATGATTAAAATGAATGAAATTGCATGCTGCATTCTACAGAATAGCATGCAGTATTTGCAAAGCTACCTAATCTTGTTATCATACTCAAAATATGCAAAAAACTCTGCAACTCAGCAAATTGGCAGAATAAAAACACCCCAACAAAATTTAGATTAATACTTAAAAAAAAAACCTGTGGTTCCAAGTAAACAAAAATAATGATTATTTTGTTGTTATTTTAAATGTCATTAGACCATTAGGAATTTTTAGTCACCAGAATGATTGGCTTAAGTTTTAATGAATTAGTTTGTCAGATAATCTAAAAACTTGAGATTCTGTTTATATTTTTTGCATGTTGTATTACTAATTTGTATCTGTTGATAATATAATTAAATAAGAGTTATCTATGATTATCTAACCAAATAACTGTTCCTTCAAAATGAGTTGGTATAAGTTCAGCAGGATCTTTGCCAACCTTCATAGTCTATGGGAACCAGCATTCACAGTTGACAGGAAAATGTGTAAGTACCAAAAAGATTTACTATAATTGCCTGTTCAATTTTCAGTTTTCTTTTTATATTGAAATCAAATATTAAACAAGTTTTTGCAGTGTTGTGTTTATAATAAACTTCATTTTATTGACTTTATGCATAATAATATGGTATACTTAAAATTTATATGAAATAATTTCTTTTGGTATTTGTTTAAAATATCTAGAATGTTTAAAAGGAATTTTTTTATTTAGTTGCTGATTTTTTTTTGAAAGTTCCAAAATTGTAATTTGATTTAGTTTTTTAGAGATATTTCTTTTTGTGTAAATATGCAGTGGACCCTCTTTATAAGTTTCAAACAATTTTGCTATACTGTAGAAATGGTTGTTTTAGAGAAGATGACTGTTGGCAACTGCATTTTGTGATTTACTCTATTCAATGCTCTTAAAGAAAAAATACACATGTATGGTGTATTGTTTGTTAATATTATCGTATAAATGAAATTGTGAATTAATTACAAAAATATATAGCTATTTATATAGAGCAAAAAATTAAGAAAAATTTTTCTTGCAATAAATTCTCTAAAATATTGTGAATAATATTTAAAATATGGAAAGAAATAAATATTATAATCTTAATTTGTAAATTGTGTTTAATAATATCAAATATATCTATCATTTATTAAAATAGTAATGCATTACAATGTGTTAACTACCTTTGCCATAGACTACCTGCAGTGTCTCAGTAACTTAACTAAATTCAATGCTTTTATTTTTTTGTTTTGCTAACATGTTAATCTAAAATTAACCACTTAAGATTTATGAAAATAAGTTGTCAGTTTCAAATAAACACAACCAATTGTAATAATGTCAGTAACCAGAAATGAGTTGCTGTGGCACATCTTGAACATTGATTTGCTATTAATTTTATCTCTTGTGCAGGCAAGAAGTGAAAAGAAATAATAGTAATAATAATGTAAATAGCCTTTTAATGCAATGAATCATTTAAAGAGAGTTTCTTTATAACTTAAATAGTAAGAACTAGAAATTAAAATAATTGATTTATTAAATACATATGATTTTTTAGAGTTAAATTAGGTATATTAGATATTAGTCACTTTATACTAGATTAAAGCATACACAAACGTTAAACTTTTGTATCAAGGAATACGTATCGTATATCTGAAAAAGCAAAATTAACAAATCTGCGGTGGCTAATTATTGTCAGAAATTTAATCATAATTTTACTTTGAGTCTGCAAAAATCATTCAAAAATTTCTTCAATTGATGAGTTGGATTTTCTTGAAGCTTTTCATATTCACAATGATTTATCTTGTTTAGTTAATGACTTTTAAGTCTAATCCAGCCCTTTCTAATGCTTTTAAAATTCTATTAACTTAATATTTCAATTTTGTTAATATTTTCCCCGCTAGAAGTTGCTACCTTCTTGTTCACTTTACTTTGGAGTATAAATATGACCTTTGCATGCACTGCTTTCCAGTCTTGCATATTTCTTTGCTCCTGGCAAAGAGGGACCTGTACCTACTTGCCCTCAAAATCGATTGAGATCTTGACATAAATCTAATCCAAACTCAAGGTTGTTGTAATACTAATTTTGTATATTAAAGAGAATTCCCTGTATTATGATGAATGTTGTTCACTGTATTCAGAATTTAGGTATAGTAGTATTACAGTTCCAGTTTTATTTAACATTTTGTATAAAGTTGAAACAGATTTTTGTATGATGTAAAATTGTTCAGTTTATTTGTATATTAAATTATGTTTGCTAAAATGTTTATACCAGTGCATAAATTTGATAAGATGAGTGATACATTTTGAAACATCAGCTATGTATCTTTTGTAGTTCTTTCAGAACGTATAATTGCAGTATACTCCAAGATATTTATTTATGTTTACCATGTTGTAGTTTATTTAAATATCAGATTAAATGTCGAGTACTAGATTTTTCAGAAAAGCTCTCTAAATATTATTTATATTAGTACATAAAATTTTATGAAAGTAGCATTTAGGAGGAATTAAATATGTAATAATTCCATATGAAACATTTGTGATGACAGTTTTAATAGACTGTCTGTATATCAGCATTCAAAATGTTATATATTTATTAATAATTGTAATGCATGGAAAAATAATAATGAATTTTTTTCAATATACTATTCAGTATTCGTATCAAGTACAGAAAAAGTAATTTTAGTTACACAACAGTAATGAATTTAAATAACGTTAAAGTATGAATGATATATAATTGAAGTCTGGAACAAACAAAGTGCATTTGCATAAATGATCCATATTTAAGAAGAGTGCACAAAAATTTTAAAATGTGACTGTTTTTTAAATTACACTTATTTATTTATTTTATGAATGCCAAACATTAGTGCTTAAGCGATTAGTCCATGGGCTGTCCAGTAATTTTTTTAATTACAAAATATCTGTTCAATTAGAATTATTTGGGGATGTGGCAAAGATTTTTACCCCCCCCCAATAGTGTGATGAAGATTACCGCATTATTTAACCTTTTGGTTTCATTAATGATACAGCTTGATAATAGTCGACTGATTAATGAGCTGTCCTTTTTTCTACTGTCAGCACTACTTTAGTAGCTACTGTACCAGGCTACTGCAACAGGGATGTTTTAACAGACCACTTGTATATATTTTTATGTTAAATTTTTTTTAATAAAAATGTAGAATTAATGAAAGATTAAAAAATGGAATTTTGTTTGATGGCATAAAAATATTCGTAATACAGTCAAAAGTCGTTAATTCGGACACCCGTATTCAGAATGATCTATAATCCGGACCTCAAAACTAAAAACTTTCTGCGCATGCGCCACGTTGACACATGCGCATAGGCGTTTACGCGTGCGCGTAAGACCTTTTACGACTGCGCATATGAGTGTGCGCAAGTGCAGAATACATTTTCGCGTGCGCGTTTTATGTATAATGGACGTATAAGCTAAAATTATCTAATTATCTATTTCAGTTAATGTTGATGATTGCATTGTTCCTTAATTTTCGAATTGAATCCGGCTTATTATTTTTGCAGACTGTAAGAGCAATTTTATAAAAGTAAGCTTAAACTTTCGATTATATCAAATAGAATTTCCGATATATATTTGTTAATATGTAAAGGATCTAAAGCGAAAGTATGTTTTGAAATCCGAAATCTGTTTATCAATTTCACGCTGCTCGGTGGGGGGAACGCCGCGGCGGGCGCGTAATGAATTGGAAGTTGATCTGTTAGCACTATCCTTATCTTCAGCGCAGATGTTTTTATTTTATTTGGCTTATGATTCCTTACCAAATGTAGTATTTTATCTCGATATGCTCCGTCTTTGATATCATTTAAAACAAGTTCCTCGTCATTATAATTCGCTTCCGATAGCGAAGAAAAGTGAGGTAATTGAAAACGAAAAAATTTCGATTGACAAATTAGTCGGTGTTCTTGACACAGCAGCAATTATAGGACTTGAACAGCAGAACTTTGTAACTGAACAAGAAATTATGTATGTTTAATAGAATTAAAGAGAAAGTATTATCACATGAAACGAAGCAAAACTTTAAAAACTTACATTGAAAGAAATGTTTAATAAAGTAAACAAATAAATATTAAGCTTTTCCTTTTTGCAAATTTTGATACCCTTTAGATCATAATTGTTCTTTATTTCATAAATTACGGTTTCATATTTTTAATTTTAGAATTTCTGCATGCCATCTTACGAGATTTAAACTGATGATCTATAATCCGGAAAAATCGATAATCCGGAATCGCCGAAGTCCCGACGAGTCCGGATTAACGACTTTTGACTGTATTTTAATCAGCAGTCTTAATTTTCCCTGCCTTAAAAAATCATTTTTTTAAATTTATTTTTTTGTATTATTTGTACTCAGTAAATTCAAAGAAAATAATCAAAGTAGATCTTTTTTAAATTTAAAAGTAATTAAATAAGAATATACAAAATATAAAGTTGTCTTTTAAGGAATTATTTTAAGAAATTTTAAAAGGCTGCCATTGAGATACATCCTGTCCTGACGGGATTTGAATTTAAATCTGAGCATAATATGCAAAAAAATAATAATAGAAGAAAGGCAGTTAAGTCAGAATTTTGAAATAATAGTAAAATTATTTTTAATTTAAAAAATTTGTAACTTGTAATACCAGAGTGATAAAATGTGTAAATTACTAATGATAACACAATTGGAAAAATCAAAATTGTCTAAGCTTTGTAAAAAATATCTGTAAAACTGAAGTTTCAAAATAAACAGAAATAGCTAAAAAGTAATTATCAGAATGCTATATCTTAGAATTTAAGAAAAAAGTTTCTAAAAATACATTTTCAAAAACAGACAAAAATTAAAATAAGAGAAAGAAACCTTATGTCCTAAAATCCTAAGTTGGATTTTAAGCAAAAAACTGCAGCGTGAGTGTAAAAGGTTAGATTATTTGAATATGGCTAAGCTCATGAGAGCTACTTGCCTAAGACAAAGGATGCCTTTGTGGAAGACTTTCCAATGGAAACTGGTTCTTATTCGTGTTCTGCATGGGAAAAACCATCTGTGTGGCCAGTCCGTTTGCCTGCATTCTAATCTCAGTTCAACTACCAGCATTCAACATTCTTAACTACATGAGTGTAGAAGAAATTACCAAGTGAGAAACAAAAGTTGAGTGTATTGTTGGAAAGACCCATGTCAAGAGCAGAAATGCTGCTTTAATAAAATTGAAAAATAATACAGTACAAAGTCCGTAATCCGGACTCGTCGGCACTTTTGGCGATTCCGGATTAGGGGTTTTTCTGGATTATAGATCATCAATTTAAATCTGGTAAGATGGCATGCAAAAATTATACAATTAAATATATGAAACCGTAATTGGTGCTACTTTGGTAGACGGTTGCACGGATTTTGGCAATTTGTTTTTTGGCGAGCGATACGACTTATGGTAAACCCATTGCTAGACAAGTTATTTATGGTAACCAATACTTTGTTGTCATTTTATTTAAAAAATAATGCATTTTATTACGCATAAATTCCGTGTTTTAAATATTATTTGTGGCTTCTAAATATTAAAAATCAATTTAATTTTGCATTTTTATTTGATTTTTTTTTATTGTTTATGATATTTTATGGAATTTTATGTTGTGGATGATGTAATGAATGACATCACATTACTTTAAAAGTAATTGGTTTTAATATGTATAAATTTAATCTAATGTTTTAAACATTATTTATGGCTGTTAAATATTAAAATACAATGTAATTTTGCATTTTTTAAAAATGATTTTATTATGTATGATTATTTAAATAATTTTAATTCTATTTGTGATGTAATCAGTTCCCTGATTGGTTACAGAATATTTGTGCATTAACGAGTTGTAGTCAGCTCCCTGATTGGTTACTGAATATTTGTGCTTTACTGCGCCATTTTAAAATTTTATTATTCATCTCTTCGAATTCCTTAGATTACATTTTTCAAATTTTTTTCATTGATATCTAAATTATGATTCTGATTCTTTTTTTGGTACTTATCAATATACGACAGGTTAAATACTAAAAAAAATATAAGTAGTACATATTTTTCTTTTACTATATACTTGTATACTTCAGTTTTTATTAAAAAATTAATACACTGTTTTCAAAAATTGCTGAGATATTTATTGTCACATGTGTTTTAATGTTAAATAATTATATCCTATAAAACATATTTTAAAGGATTTGAATTTAAGTAATATTTTAATTCTTTTAAACATTGGTATGATGTTTTTAATTCGATATTCAATTTAAGTAATATTTTTATTCTTTTTTGGTATGATGTTTTAAATTCGATATTCAATTTAAGTAATATTTTAATCAAATTAAACGTTGACGCAATGTTTTTATTCTATTTCTTTGCTATATGAAAGTAATAATTTAACTTTACTTTAGCATTTTATACTCTAGTAAATGTATTTATTTAAATTTGCCTGCCATCTTAAAAAACGACATTTTCAACAAAAAATTAATCCATTATTTTTAACAGTATTAATTTTTTTAAAGTTATGAATACTTTACTATGCGTAAAATACGTAAAAACACCGTTTTTCAAGATGGCTGATGATTGTAAAAAGCACACCAATTATTGCAGCAATGTAAATTGCCAAAAATCCATACAACTGTCTACCAAAGTAGCACGTAATTTATAAAATAAAGAGCGATTATGATCTAAAGGGTATCAAATTTTACAAAAAAAAAAGCTTAATATTTGTTTACTTTATTAAACATTTCTTTCAACGGGCGCATGTGTAAAGCATACATTATGGCACGTAATGTATGCGCGTTCTCTATGTGCATCCGTAATGTATGCGCATTCTCTACGTGCATGCGTAAAGTTTGTGGCTTTGAGGCAGTGGCGTAGCTAGGGTGGGGGAAGGGGGGCATCTGTCCCCGGGCACAGCATTCAGGGGGCGCCAAATTGATGTTAATGAAATTTTAGAATGAAATGTTTTCCGTTCTTAGCGCAGAGAATGGGGCGCAAAATCTTCAGTTGTCCCCGGGCGCTGAAAACCCTGGCTACCCCTCTGCTTTGAGGTTCGGATTATAGATCATTCCGGATAATGGACGTCCTGATTACAGACTTTGTACTGTACTTGTTTTTTAATTAGGAAAGTAAAGAAAATATTATTAATTTGTAATTTTAAATTGGGTCATATTAAGCAGAGAAATGCAAAAACTTTTTTTTATTATCAAAAGTAAGTATATATATATATATAATCAGGAGTTTAGAAGTTACAAAATTATGATTATTAATATCACACAGTATGCTGTAAAATTAGTTAAGTAATCAAGAGATAATTGAAATAATTAAATGAATAACGGTGGCAAACTGACAAATAGGAAGAATATAAATCAAAATCAACATAATAAAGTGACACGATTGAAAGTTTTATAATTGTTTTCAAGCAGCAGCAAAAAAAAAAAAAAAAAAAATTCACTAGAGCAACATTTTTGAGTTATGTCTGAATGATTACTAAAATAAATCAAATAGTAATTGTTAACAATAAAAAAAATTACTGTAATTTAAATGATATTGTGATATACAAAATATAAAATATTTTTTTGAAAGAAGCTAATAAAATTTGAGATAATTTTTTTTTTTACTTCGTTATTAAGATATGATCTGCTCTAGTGTATCCCTAAACAAATCATACAAAATGAAATAAACAGTATGCTAGTAACTAGACGTAACAACAGTAGTAAACAGTAAAAGTAAATGTCCCAAAATAAAAAAACTAGAAAAGCAATTTGGCTCATCAACAAAAAAAGAAATAATTTGATTAAGTGTACATTTCTTGGAGGTTTATTAATTTACAAAATTTCTTTTCTAGTTTCTGATTTCAGAAGTTATAATTTTACATTGTTTAATTTTTATATGGTATGATTTGTTTAGGATCACACCAGTGCAGATTGTATCTTGATGATTGATTAAAAAATGTTCAATATTAATTTTATTGACATTCTTTAATGGCCTTACAATACTATATTATAAAATTGTTTGGGACCTTGCATTATTATTTTAAATTGCATTAAATCTGTTTATTTTTAACACTCACTTTTTAATTTATTGTATTTACGTAATCATCCATATATAATTCATAAATGTGTTGTTGAAAATTTTTTGGCTACTCTTGAGAAAGACCAAAGAATTTTGAGTTATCTGTTATTTTATTATGTTGTTTAGTGTGTGTTTCAATTTTGATTTATATTTTCCCTTTAGTTCAGTTTACAACCTTTATTGATTTAAGTAGTTTTTTCTTGAATTTATATATATATTATATATATACACATACACATACATATAAATTTTTTGGTAGTATTAGTAGCAGCAATACTAATATTCTGAAATGTGTTCAAGAGCTGTTTCAGATGTCCGCTGTTCAAGTCCTATAATTGCTGTGTTGAGAATACCGACTAATTTGTCAATCGAAATGTTTTCATTTTCAATAACCTCTGGGTCACTTTCTTCACTATTGGAAGCGAATTATAATGACGAGGAACTTGATTTAAATCATATCAAAGACGGAGTACATCGAGATGAAATACTACACTTAGTAAGGAATTATAAGCCAAATAAAATAAAAACATCTGCCCTGAAGATAAGGATAGTGCTGACAGATCAACTTCCAATCGGGGGTGTGAAATTGATAAACAGATTTCGGATTTCAAACCATACTTTCGCTTTATAGATATAAATTACATATTAGTAAATATATATCAGAAATTCTATTTGACATAATCGAAAGTTCAAGCTTACTTTTATGAAATTGCTCTAACAGTCTGCAAAAAATAATAAGTCGGATCCAATTCGAAGATTAAGGACCAATGCAATCTGCAACATTAACTGAATTAAATAATTTTAGCTTAGCTTATACCGTCCGTTACACATTAAACGCGCATGCGCACAAATATTCGCAGCCGTAAAGGTGTTACGCGCACTCGTAAACACCTGTGAGCATGCGTAAACGCGACGCATGTGCAGAAAGTTTGTAGCTTTGAGGTCCGGATTATAGATCATTCTGGATTATGGGTGTCCGAATTAACGACTTTTGACTGTAATAATTTCCTTTAATATGTATTGGAAAAAAATGGCTCCAATAAAGTTTAAGACATATAACTTTTTAACGTGAATGCATATTCTCTGCTTTCAATCTATTTTCTGTTTCAAAGTAAAATAATCTACATAGATAAACTGCTTTTTAATACAGAATAGATAAAAATATGTATGTTGCACAGAACATACTAGTTTGAATTGTATGCTTTCGTCTTTATATGATTCATTTTAACTAACACGTTATTTTTGTGTTACTATGTGTGTCCTGGCATTTGTTATGCCATTTTGTATTTGCCCATAATCTTTCAGCTGTTTTAATATGCTGCCCTATAGTAGGGTAAATGGAATTGGATATGTGATTTACAATGAAATGTTCATATCTGGAGTCTTGCAGTTCATCTAACTTATATGCATCTGAAAATATACTTCCATCTGTGATGTTCTCTGTAATCTCAGTCATTAAAATTTTATCTGAACAATCAGGAATGACAAGAAAACACTCTTTTGCTTTTGTCATTGTCCACTGAAAATCTACGGTGAGGGGTTAATGTGCCTAATAATTTTTGGCACAGTTAAGGTTGTTTTGCATGCTTACAACCTTAAATCACAAAACTGTGCCAAAAAATTGTACTCATTTTTGCTGCTATATTCTGGAACAGAAAAGTACCAATGTTTGAAATTATTTTATATTAAATTAAAAATCAAATATATATATATATATATATATATATATTTTAATTTCAAGGAAGTCTGCATCCTTGAACTTGAAAATGTATGTCATAAAGTAGATCAAATTATCTTAAGTCAGTGTAATATTTTCATTTTTATTTAGTGTCGTTTTTAAAAGATGGAAGAATCTGAATTATTCTTCTGTTGTCTAAAACATGAACTTACTCTTCTTCACTTCATCCAATTCACAGTATAAGCATTTTGCTCAGAAATGACATCTAAAAAACATCTAATTATTGATAGAGATGCTTATGACCCTTTGGTATGTAACAAATTATTTAACCAATATTCAAGTCTGAAAATAAATTTAAAAATACAAGTATCAAGTGTGTAGAAGTGAACGAAAAATCTCATTTTAAATTTATTCAAAACTTTGCATGATAGGTGTACGTCAACTATTTTAGAACCTAACTAATTCAGTCAAATATCTAAATTTTGATTGTTGTGCCTTATTTTAATAAGTGCTGTTCGACATTTATGTAATAACTATTACTAGTTATTACATAAATGAGTAGTCCTGAATTACTAGAGTAGTCCTGAATGGGATGTTAATCTCAAAATGGCATTTTGTGTTGAAACACATAAATGCATTGTATCACTTTTCAAATCGTTGCCAGCAAGTATTATTGCGCTGTATTATATTTAATGAAATTAAATAATGAAGAATCTGCATGGATGTATGTTATGTTTCTTACATTGTGAAAAAACAACAGTACCATAAGCCATCAAATTATGAATAATGTAGTCCTCCACCCGAACATGCGAACCTGGAAGCCCGAATTTTCAATTTCGAATTTGTTTTATTATCTCTTTCATATTATGTAAAACTTAATGAATTTTTGATTAACAAGCTTAACAGTTTCAAAGAGAGCACTAGCAACACAGTATGTAATAAAACATTTTTATCTCCAGTGCATGAGACTGCCTATCAAAAATTCTCAAGAGTTGCTGTTTTTAAATATCTTGTAATTTTGCTGTTGAATTGATTTTATGTGGCATAAGCACCAAGCATGGGATATTAAATAAATAAATGAAGTTAACATACAAACTGTTAATAATAAAAAGGCAAAGAAAACTGAATATTGATATGATGAACTGAGAAATGACTGAAAAAAACAGAAAAACTATATGCCGACATTTAATAATGTTAATGCATTGGGAGTTCTAAACCTATAATGCTATGCTGCTTTTAAAATTTTAGTAATTTTGCTGTTAAATTGTATGGCATAAGTGCAAAAAAATTATACTAAAAAAAATGTATATCTAAAAAAAAAATAGTAGGAGAGAGTATAGAAGCAGACTGTTAGACTGCGAGTTCAGTGAGAGCATAAAAAGTCGTAACAAATAAATCCTCTTGGACAACCATTAAGATCTTATATTTTTCAGATTTGTTTTTTCTTCTGTGTATGTGCACATGCGGGAGAGACAGAGAGTTTTCATATTTTCGTTTAAAGCTTATATGATATCACATCAGTGCAAATGGTCATGAAGAGTCAACATAAACATTCATTAAATCATAAAGTCATTAAATCACCTACCCACTGCAACAAAAAAAAAAAAAAAAAAAAAAAAAAAATCCTATGACCTCCAAAAAAATTAATCCTGTTGTAATCATAAAAATTTTATAACATATAGTAATAAAAATTTTCTTTAGAATCATCATGAACTGGATATGTTTTCTTCCATAAATTATTTACCTTTAAAGCCTTCTAAGTATTTTTTTTTAACTTAGTACTAATTGCAATTTTTATAAAGTCTTTAATAAATTAATATTCACTGTTTGTTAATAATGGCAATGAAAGTGTTACTTCATTATTCATAAATCACTTATATGTGCCTAAAATTATTCTAAATTTATTTTAAATTTATTTTTTAGAATGTTGTATTACAAATAATAATAATTGTATAAATGCATTTATTCCACAGTAAATTCTTTTGCAAGTATTTAAAGTCTTCCCTGTCCATGTGAAATAAAACTTGGAATATTAACTTTATTTTACAACGAACTCTGATTGCATTTATTTTAATGTAGCTTTAGGTTACTTTTAAAGGATGTATTAGTAAACATGTCCTTTCCTGTGGTGGTCCCTGATGGTGCATCTGATAGATAAATAATTTTTTTATCATAGAAAATGCTGTTTAGCTGAAAATAATGCCATAAGAAGGGCTGATGTTCATTAATCTCTGTTATTGGTAGTCATTTACTTTTATCACTATTGGAATAAAATTTGAATTCATTAACAAATAGGTTGGCATCCTATTTGTCTGGCAGAAAATGGCTTTTCCTGAATGTTAAGAATACTATTATCAGCCATAGTGAATAGTATTCATATACTTGATCTTTATTATATTTTTATGAATGCATAATTAATGCAGATGACTCATAATGAGCAAATTATAATTTAAGGAGCTGTGAAAATCTTGCTAATAGTCTTGCTGTTGTTAAGCAGAATTATTGATTAGGGAAAAGTCTTTGTGAATAGAGCAGCTAATTGCTTACAGTAAGTGAAAAAATAATTGCCAGCAAACTTTGTTCTCTAGTTCTGATAATGCATAACATTCTGTTTTAGGTACTAAATTTATGCAGAAAATTTGAAATTTCAAGAGAGTCGAGTATAAGTCTTATAATAAAGTGGTTACCAAAATCTTCCTTCTGCTTACCATTCTTGAAGATGAAATAGATAACTTTATATGGTGGAAGAAAGAAAATAACAGCTTTTATTCTAATGATGATACTACTTTTAATATATTTATAATAACTGATACAGATGTTTATGATTTCATTAATTTTTAATAATTGGATTGCAATTTACACAGTGTTCTATCATTTATGTTTTAAAGTAGGGATAAGTGATGGAGCAGAATGTTGTAGAATTTATAAGTAAAATAATGCTACATGTGTGAATTATGTTCATCTTTGTTAACTTTGTGGCAAAATAGATTATTTAAATTATTTTCTTTATGATTTCACTTTTCGGACCAAAACGAAAGGTATCTATGTAACATAATATTTCTTTGTTTTTCTTTCCCTTTATATTGAAGCTTTCTTGTATTTTTAAGATGTAACAGTAATTGAATCCTTTCTCATTACCTCTTACTTCTCACTTTATAATTAGGACTGGCTTAGATATTGCTCTGTATAGCTGAGATATTGCAGTTACTATTATTTATGTTAATTGCATGAAGGATTTTTTTTGGGGGGGGGGAACTTTTTATGGTTTTGTACAAAATTTCTAAAGTAGAAATGTTTGCATTTGCTTTCTATAAATCTGAATTAAATATTACATATAAAATAGTTTTTAATAGCTCTGTTCATTTTGAATAAATATTAATTATTTTTCCGAAATATTATACATCGTAGTTTGTCATTATATTGTTTTAAACATTTATACAATGCAGCATTTTGCATGTATTGCATTGTTTACCACAGAACAACATGTTGCAGAATCTTTTAAATGCTGTTTAATGTTAAAAATATTTTTGAAGGTATAAAATAAGAAAGTTTTTTAAATTAAAAGAAGGGTTATTTTAGAAATAGCATATTTTTTAAATATGATTAATCTTAGAACTGCAATGAAGAGATAACAGTGGATTAATTAATAAATGTATCTTTTACATCATATGTATTTCTATCATTGAAAATTATAAGTTTAAATGGTTAAAATGTGACAAAAAATGTGTAATAATTTTGTAGCTTAAGTGCAATGGTTAAGTATTAAAAAATCAGTTATGTATTGACACTTAATTTTTTCAGGCAAATGCATTTAAAATATGATTCATAGTTATGAAGACTTTGCCTGAAGATCTTATGAAAATTAAAATTTTTTGTCGTAGTTGATTTATAATATTTTACAAATTTATGCAAGTGTTTCGTTTTCCAGTACTAACTGCTGTGACTAAAACAAGGACAACAGGTATTCTCATACCATATTGTTTTTGATGAATGCAGCTACATCAAAATGTATAGTATGATAAAGATATTTTAGTTGAATTTCCTATTGTAATCATTATCTATATTAAAATGGAAAAAAAAAAGCTTATTAAATAAATAATTTTAGGCCTCTATTTTTAATGATGTTAATGAAATTTCAAATACAGAATTGGATTTTGTTTGTCATTAAGTAAAAGTTTTAAAGTTAGTGTATAAAGAGACTGTATTTATTTATTTGATTTATTGCATTAAATGCTATCCCTTCCCTCTGATGTAAATAATTGAAATATGTTGTCAAATGTAGTCTTTTATCAGTATCAGTTTTATTTTATTTATTTCATAATGTTTGAAAGATTGCTTGATTTTATTTTTACTATTCTCTTTCAGTAGTAAGATGTTAAAAGTTCTTTTTAAAACTTTCATTCCAAGAAAGTTTAAAAATCATGCTGAAATATCTGTATTTTTATAAACTGAACTAATTTAAAATATATATCTTTTTATTATAGTAAATGAACATCAAGATGTACTTTCTTCCAAGTTTGATTGTTGGAATGTTGATTATTCTTGCTCAGTATGTTCCTATTCATCACGGTATAAATGGAATTTGCAGAAGCACATGGTAATTCATACTGGTGAAAAGCCATATATTTGTTCAGTTTGCAGCAAATGTTTCAATCAAAAGCAAAATTTGAAAAGACATTTGAAGATTCATTCAATAAATTACTAATTTGCAATTTCATTGAGCTCCCTCATTCTGATTTATTGCCAGATAGATTGTTTTAGTACATAAATTTCATTTGCACATCATAGAATATCAAATTTTGTGTCTTTCCTGTAATTTGCAATTTATAAAATGAGAATCATTAAAAAAAATGTTTTTCATTTTATTTTAGATTTTTTTTAAATCGATATTCCCTATCATGCTTTATCATGCCTTAATTTTTTTTTCATAAAAATACTTTTAACTTTTTTAAAATTGCATTTTGATCAGTACATCCTTGCTATGCAAGAGAAGTTGCTAAATTCTTCATTTTATTTGTAATTAAGTTAAATATAGTTGTATCTTTTTCTTTTTGTTAATTTATTATATAAAATAAACTCTATTCCTTAAATACATGTTCATTAAAAAAATTGTTAGTGGATATTTGTATTGTTAATCATTCATGAAAATATTACCTTTTGAATTTTTCTGTAGTCCTGCTTGAAAATTTTAACCAATACTTAAGTTTAAATTAAGCTAATGTGATTATAAGCTTTCATTTATCTAGCTTATAACCATGCTATGCTAGCTTTCATTTAGCTATCACTTTTTGCTAGGTTTCATTTAGCTGGCACATAATACAATACTTGTGTGATAATAGTGTGTTTTGCTATGTTCAAAACATTGTCAGTGATTTTTAAGTAACTTCCTAATAAGTTATTGAGTTCAGGTTTTGTACATACACTTTTTGTGGATGACAATAAAATGTGGAAAAATGATTTTTTTTTTTTTTTTTCCAAAAATCGATTTAGACTTTTAATTTTTAATTTAATATTAAAATGATTTTTCCCACCTTTCTTCACTTGATGAACAAATTCTCCATCTCAGAAAAATACTGTTTGCAGCATCAGATACAGCAGGAAAAAATGTTTCAATTGAAATAGTATTTTTTTTCCTCATAGGACAAGAATGATAAGAAAAATCTAAATTTGATAATTTCCTGCTTAAAAAATATATATGCTCTATGAAACAGGAGGGGAAGTATTTCTATTCAGTTTCAAAGTTATGATGTCATTACATCACACTATTTTTCATGCTTTTGTAGAGATTTCTCTAAAACTGATGTTTTTATATTTATATATTACTTACATTCATCTTGCTAGAAAAGATTGCTTTAAGTTACCTGTCATTATATATATATATATAACATATATTTTTATAGAAAGATTTTGCATTTACATTTTATTCATTTTTTTTAAATCTCAAAAACCACAATATTTATTTGTGTTTACAATTATTTGCTATGAATTCCACTATGCTATTTTTAATTTTTCCCATTTCATAAGTTTCTGCACATTTTTCTCAATATTTCATTTTAAGATTTATTTTTCATGGTTGTATTGTGGTATATTATATTATATTATTTTGAGGAAGGGGGGGGGACTTTAAAATTCTAACATCTGAAAAGAAAATAATAAATGGGTGCCTGTCTGGAACTTTTTAAAAATAGTTGTGTTTTTGTTTATTTAACTTGCTCATGGTGTTTGTTACTATGATCAAAACTTTAAAAATGGATAGCAGACTACTCCTAGAAAAAGCCATTGAGCTCAAGTTTTGTACAGACACATATTATGGATGACAGTACAATGTGGTCACTTTTGTATTGAAAATACTGTTTACATTTTACATTGTAAATAGGGTAATTCTGAATATGACAAATGTGAATTATATTTAAAAATGGTTTCTTAACTTTTTAATGGATACTATGCATAATTTAAATGGTAGCATGGTGATATTACGATTATTCATTATGATTATTTGAATGATTTTTTTAAAGGAAAATTTGAGCAATTTTATTTACTCAGTTTTAAATCACTGATAATTATTGTATGAACAATTAATTGAAATCAAATAATCTGTATACTGTATGTTAATCATTAGTTAATGATCATCATAAGTATTCATGAAATATGTTTTGAGACTGAAAAATTAATCTGTTTAAATTCTTTTGTTCTTATTTCTTATGATAGAAGAAATTTTGAAAACTTTATTTTTTAATAACTTATTTAATTAATTTTCAAGACCGTACATGAGGAATATGCTAGTACTTGCCGTATAATTATTTAACAAGTCTTGGGAACTCATAATTAAAAAGCTAAAAGAAAAATTTTTTGAAAATGGGAGAGGATTAAAATAAATTGAAATCCAAAGAGTTTTCCATAAATACTGCACTGAGATAGATAATTTATTAGCAAATTATCATCAGTGCAAGGATCAGTACCATTTATTAAGTAAATAAATCTGCTGATTCTTTCAAATACATTACTTTTTGTTTTTGAAAATTTATATAGAAATTTTGATAAAAGGCAGTTTTTAGTGAATGAGGCCATCTATATTCCCCTTTTAAAAATAATGATAATAATTCTTTGTGATTGTTGATAATGACTGTTCACTTTTAAAATGCAGTAGAACCTTGAATCATGAAACATTCAGCTCAACGAATTTTCTGAACATAAAAGTGCCTTGAATGATGAATGGTGTCTCTCGAGTTGCAAACTCTCAAATCGGCAAAATATGCTTGAGGTAACCTGTGCTGCATAATTAACATACAGAGCTTTTTGTAAAAATCATTTCAATAATTTCTGTTGCTGGACTCTTATTTACAAAGCATGGTAGCAAGAGACATTTAAAAACATAACTTCAACCTAGAAGAAATTATGACCAGATTTCGTAGCAAACAGAAACTTTGACACTTAGAATGCTGTTGGTTATCTATGATATTGCATTTCTGGATAAAACCATTTGCTAAGGAGTTAAAAATTAAGATGTGGAGAAGTTACTAGAGGACCATAAAAATGAGTTTAATGTGAATGAATTAAAACAACTTTTGAAGCAGCAAAAAAGAGCTTTTGTAGAAAAAAAATGTCATCAGAAGAAGAAGAAATGAAAATAAATTAGTTCAACAAAATTTGTGAAAAATAGGGTAAGAAGCAAATTTTTCTCATAATCCTATCACCCTAAGAAAGCAGCTGTAAAAAAAAATAAGCATTTTAAATGATGATAATGTCTTATCTCACTTTAGAAACATTTTTAAATGCACACAACAAATCACGTTGGACAAATTTGGGGTGAAAAAGCAGCCCAGTGAGTCTCAAGCAGAGTCGAGTAGTGGTTGGAAACCCCCCTCCCCCCCCGAAAAAAAAGGTGAAACAAAAGGCCTTCCAAAAGATAGTATCTGATGTTTACATGGTAGAAAATTTCAGATCCAAACAATGACACATTCTTCATCATTTTCTGCTTATGCTGTCTTCTTCATATGCTCTCCTTTGCACAGGTACAGTAAAATTAAATTATGTTTTCATCTGTTTTGTCTGTTTAATATTTTGTTTACATTTTTTGTATACTTAATTTCCATGGATCTTGGGTTATATTCTTGTGAAAAAAAAACTTAGGATTTACAGATACTATTTTTTGTGAAGTTTAAGTAAGTAATCATATGTGGTCAGGAACAAATAATTCCATTTCACATTAACACCATAACACCAGTGGGGAAAATTGTTTTGGTTGACAAATAGAAACAATTTAAGCTCATGAAACAAGGTTTCATTGTAGCTTCTTCCCCCCTCTTTAGTGCATTTTTGTTATAATTTTATTTGCAAAGTTTATATATTTTTTCTAAATTGCTTACTTATCATGTTGCAAAAAGTTAATATTGTGGCCATCATTTCTTGGTCTGTGTAATTCTGTATTATGCAAATAAAAATTATTTTTATGCATTTGCGTAGAAGAATATTTCTTAATTTAAGTATGTAGCTGTAATAAAAATTAAACCGAATTTACGCTTTTTATTTATTGTATATTTTCATTTAATGTTGTATATTTTTATATTTGGGATATAATTTACACATTGATGCAATAAACAGTATTCTCCATATTGATATTATATTAATTCACAGTTATTCCTAGTAAGTCCCAAAGGAATTTTAGACTTAACTAAGAATAACTTGGTTATGTATTTTATTGTCATAAAATTCCATTTTCTAAAGCATATTTATCTTCAAAGTAAACTTGAAATGCAAGAAACTTAATGCATCTCTTTTTAGTATCATCTTGTGCATTTCCTTATCTGTGGAAAATATGAATGTTGTGAATTTTATGTATTATTACTATTATGTAGCTTAATGTATTATTTTCAAATCTGATATTGCTATGTATACTAAAGTTTTATTGTTTAAAAAGTAAAAATGCTTTTTATTAGAAGTCTGTTTTAAGGAACATATCGAGTTCTATACAAAATACATAATTTTGCTCTGCAGTAGTTTAAACCATAGGTTGTGCATTTTCTATTCAGAAATTAAAATTCTGTTTTGAGCAGTTTTTGTATGTAAATATTTATTACTTTATTTCTTTGATTTTAAGGTGAACCCTACCTTAGAATTAATTTCAATACCACCAAAAGAGAAAAAGATTTTGACTCCAAATAAATAAAATAAAATACATGTTAGAAATATTTTTTAATCATAAATTATCCTAAGATGATCTTCATTCTAAAATAACCATGTTTTTAATGTTTCTAATTGGGGGGTTGCAATGTTTGTTAAATTAAAAAAAATATGGTATATCTTGAATTCAAAAATTTATTTCATTTAAAATAGTAAAAGAGGCATTAACTAATACCTTAATTTCTGAAAATATCTTCTGATGTTCCACATTTTTAAGATTTGAGTTTCGTTCACGATTTTTATTATGAATATCAGTTCAAACTGTGTTCTCGCATTTGTTATATAATTTAATATTTATAGTTTCTTCTCTTAACTATTACAAAGGTATTTTCATTTTAAAGATTATATTAAAGGAGCATGTATAGCAAATAGATGCAACAATTATTTCTAGTTCTAAAAAAAAGCCCTAATAAAAAG